CTGTTTCTCATCTGTTATTGTGTTTCTATAGATCTGGAATTGATGCGTTCCTTTCTGAAATCAGTTGTCTTACTTCATGTGAAACCACAGTGTGTCATTAATGAGGGCCAGCTGGGTTTGGACCATCATTAGTCTGAGACGTGTTTATAAAGTGAATGGCTGCTACTGAATGCAGCTAACGTTGGGGGTGTGCGTGTCAGGCATGTTGCCCCGCCTCTCATGCGTACCATGTTGTAGAGCGGCGTGGTGTTGATCACAAACTGCAGGAGGACCTTGGAGAGCTCCTGCAGGTCTCGGAGCGCCTGCTGGATCTGGACCGGCAGTTCTCGGAGCTGTCGGATCGGACCCAGCTCAGCCAGCATGGCGGCTCGCTCCACCGCGCCCCTTACGGTGGCCTCTCTGAGACTCTCTGCCTGGAACAGCAGCGCCACCACCAGGTTCTGGAGGTACTGCAGCAGCTGACCCGTTATCTCTAGGACCCGAGTGAGACCCACCTGCAGGGAACAGAGAGCTCAGGTCAGCTCAGTCACTTTGCTTCTCCTCTTCTTTCAAAGCGCATTTTGGGAAACTTAGTTTAACCTTTAAGAAAAACCTTTAGAGAACAAATTCATCGTTTATGATGATTCCCGTCTTTAATGTTTCTCCCTTAAAAATTTATATCTATTTATATCATTTGTGTTTTTGCTGCCAATCAGATATTCGATTTAAAAAAGGTGATTTATTTTATATCAGCTTTCAAATTTTGTTGATGAAGCTAATTAGACATAAAATGTGTTTTACTCAGAAATGACAAATTCTATAAACCCACAATATTTTTATTCATTTCTTTTTTACTTTAAATTGTTCTAATTAGTGGAAAGTTGATGCGTTGCTTGGTCTGAGGAAATGCGAAGGTATTTATCTTTTTTTTTTTTTGTTGTGTTGGAAAATGAAAAGTGTTAGAAATAAATCTATTAGTGTTTTTTTTTTCAGCAATAATTATGTTTTTTATCATTAAAGTTTTTTCAAATTTGGTAAAATAATGTAAATTAATTTTCCTGCACTTTCATTTTAGCTGCTATAAGAAATCAGGTTTTTTTTTGACACCCACAGTTTTAAATTCCAGTGAATAATTTAATTAATTATTAGTTCATCATAAATTTTGTCAAAACTTTGTTTTCATTAGTTTTCATATTTTATAATAAAAACAAACAATTTTTTTACTGACTATAGATAGTAATAATTTCTATCCATAAAGTTTTAAACCCCAAATCAAAAATAACTTTCAGACTTTTTGTCAGATTTTCTGTTTAATACATCAGTTGTAAAAATAATTAATAAACCTGTTTTTATTTTTACTTCCTGACTTTATGAGTTAATCAGGCTAATCGTTTTGCTCCTACATGAATCACGTTTAATTCCCACTTCTGTCAGATAAATGAAATAAAAGCAGTTTCAT